ATACACTGTATCTTTATGGATTATATTGATCCTGTATTGACAGTCTGTGGACATATGACGGCTTTTAGCTTGTGTTTCTAGAGTTAGTTTAGCTAACTACTAAAGTCTAAGGTTGTCTGACGGTATTTGTTTAATGCTTTAATAATGTGGGTATTGATTACTGATTAAACATGTTGCTTATTAATGCTGCGTTAATTTTATGTCAGTTCATATATCAATTCAATTTTATTTGTATAGCGCCAATTCATAACAGAAGTTATCTCAGGACACTTTTCAAATAGAGCAGGTCTAGACCGAACTCCTTTTAACATTTACAGAGACCCAACAGTACCACCATGAGCAGATACACATACATACACACGTCACATCTTAAGTTAGCTACTACATTCCGGTGGTGTTTCTACAGTGTCTAAAGCACAAGTGGAACCCATATATTGTCAATGGTCCCAACCACCGCATTAGAATATGAGTTGAGGGTTAGCAAAAAGTAGCATAAATAAATCATACATCTTGATCAGTAAACATTTGAATATTAGCGCAACAGTTCCACAGACTCCCACTCACAGTGGAGGCTGGGGGAGGTGGGCTGCCCCCATCCTGTGCTTAAAGGGTATTAACACAGTATTGTGATGGCTGGACGACTGGGTCAGAGCATCTCCAAAACTGCAGCTCTTACCTATCAAAAGTGCTCCAAGTAAGGAAAAAAAACGGAAAGAGGGTCACTGATGCATGTGGGGAGTAAAGGTTGGCCCGTGTGGTCCGATCCAACAGAAGAGCTACTGTAGCTCAAACTGCTGAAAAAGTTAATGCTGGTTCTGATAGAAAGGTGTCAGAACACACAGTGCATCAGTTTGTTGGTATAGGGCTGTATAACATTATGACCACCAGGGTGCCCAGGTGGTCATAATGTTATGGCTGATCGATGTATATAAATGTTGTGACATACAGTCAACCGTTTGGGGCGACTATCTCAGCATTTGTCTTAAAACGTTCAGGGTGATTTTAACCAGTAGAGAGCAGGTTGAGCCATCTATAACCCAAAAAAATGCAGATTTTCATATATTTGGTAATAATTTAAATTGTAACACCAGCATTGATGTGCTCATAGCATAATCACATAACTCAGTTTACAATTTAAATGACACGTTTTAGGGTGCAGCACCTCTTTAATAATGTAATTAAATGTAATTAACTTGGTATGTAGGATGTTAACTATGGATAGAAATAATGGACAAAACTACATCACTAAGATGGAAATGGTAAGAAAGCAGAATTATTCTTTAGGAAATACCTCACTTAACTTCTAAAATGTCCTCAGTGGGAAGGTTTGTTATATACTATGGCTCATTTATAGGTTTTACACAATTTATTCATGTGATTATATTTATTTAATATTGAGCAGTCAGCAGCTATAACAGTAGTTAGAACAGGGTGATGGAAAAACCATGATTGATGTGGACGTTCTTTACAGTGACTTTAGAGAACAGTTTGTCAGCAAACAAAAACAAATCAACAAGCGTTCTTAAAATGGTTAGCTTGTGTTTATTGGATATTAAATATTTACATGAATAAACAGAACTGTATCAATGACTCTACAGTCGAACTAACAAGACATGAAATGTCCCTTCTCATTCTCTCATTTTGCAGTTCTCCTCTCCCCACTCTCTCCCCCATTTGTTTCTAACCAGGACAGAAGAACGCCTGAGGGACAGGCTGGCATCCCCTTCAGATCTGCTCCAGTCAGTGTGGTCCTCCTCTGATATGATGGATAAAATGCAGCTTGATTGATTCCACTTTTACTGTGGTATTGATCATTACAATGTCCACAACATTTAATCAGAATTGAAGTGGCCAGCAGGGTGTTTCAGTGTCCCATAATGGTTTTATTTTTATTTTAAAGGCATTATATCAAATATGTAATAAAATGAAAAATCTACCCACAATGGCATGAATCCAACCAAACATTTGTTTATGACGAGTCTCCTCTCACAACATCTACTCTTTATCCACTAACTAAAGTCCCTATGTCTAGATTTTTTTATTTTAACGTCTTTACAAGTTTTTTTTACACAACAATATAGAAAATTACAACTGGGAATTTGCCCTTTCTTACCCCCACCCCTTTTGGAGCCTTGGTCAACTTCCTCCTTTCCTGTACTACATATATATATATATGCTGAGATGTGCTAGGCTAATCTGTGTTGCACATTATGAAGATGGTTTTAAAGGCAATGATGTACACTGGCTAATTAGCTAGAGATTTGCTAACATTAGCTATAAGTTGTAAGTAAGTACAGAGAAGGAGAAACCACCAAGGTTCTGACCGAGGCTAGCTCAACAAAAAGGCGGGCATTAGCATGTTTGATGTGATCCAGGCAAGGTCCAGATATACATCAGGTGAACTTTCAAAGGAAAATGACCAGTGAAACAAATCCTTCCCTAGCCAGTTGCTCTTCCCACTGCCACACCTAACCTCAACATGTAGCCTAACCCTAACCAGTCCTGATTTATTTCAAACTTAGCTTTTATTTTCGCAGTAGATCATCTTAGAGTTTTCTCTTTACTGACGTCACCGTGTTCCTTGATCTCAGCAATTAACTTGGTGAGTGCGATGATAACTACGGATAGAAATAATGGACAAAAGTAAACTAAGTCTCTTTCGGGAGCAGGACAGGCAGGAAAGACCTCAGTTCCCAAAAATGTCCTCAGTGTGAAGGTTTGGAACTAATTGGTTCTCTATAAGAAAACTCAACACCCCGCCATTCCACAAACTCAGCCTATTAATATCCCCTTCCTGAAATAGAGCCGAGCCACAGCACCAGTAGGAGCTCACTGTACTGGGGAAAGAGCAACTCTGTCATTAGAAAGACAGAAAGCAAGATACAGGAAGTCTGAAGATATGTTCCACTCTGTGTGTGTGTGTGCACTGTCAGTCTGTCATTGTTTCATGTTGCTCAGTCGTACTGCTTTTTCTAACTCAAACCGACGGTGGTCGACTCGCTCCAAGAAGTTCTTCCGCTCCACATACCTAAATACACACACACACACATATTCCCTGCCAATACATTCTAACATACTTTTATCTTTTAACATTTTGTTGAGATGGACTTAATTTAAATCAATTTTAAGAAAAAATACATTGAGTTAGCTATATTACCAGATGAATACAGAACGCTGTCGCAATGTTTTTTTTGTTTTGTTTTTGTCAAGCTTGTCTGATCTAGCAACAGTAACTAAGGAGGACTTTGGAATTGTAATACAGCATTACTGTATATGTTATTACTTGTTTAAACCAAAACAATGAGTATCATGTCTGTTAAAAGTCATGTTATCCAAAACTCAAGACAAGCACACAGCCAGTAATGCTGCTGGATCCAAAACTCTATAGAGAGTGCTAAGACAAGCGGCTAATGTAATGTCCCATTTACACAACGTACACTTTTGTCTCTTACACTTAATATGCCTTCCCCCTCCCCGTTAAAAAACTATGTCTGACCCCAACCCTATCCTTAACCTCACCTAAACATAGAAATTCAGAAATTGATTAAGCTTCATTATTGACTATTTCTGCTACAGAATCTACCTCTCCAAGGAGGTTTTCCAGTGTTGTTTATGGGTTTGTTTGGTCAGCAGGATTAGGGAAAAACTACTGGTAGATTTTTATAGTAAGTAAGTAAAATTTAATTATAAAGCACATTTAAACACGTATAAAACTGACCAAAGTGCTGTACAGTGATGATAAAAAAGGCAAATAATACAAAAAACACATAATTTTGCTGGTGGAAGTGTAGCAGGCCAAGAAACCCATTAAAGGCAAAGTGAATGCACTCACGCAGATATATAAATTATTTTTCACTTCCTGTGGCAAAATGAACTGAATTATTGCCCATGAACCCGAATAGTGAGCAGAATGTGTGCTGTGACTAAACAAAAATAACAGCCAACCACTCACTCACCTGTAGAAACATAAACAGCAGTATGTAAAACAAGCAACCAGGATGTGATTTTTTTTGATTAATCTGGAATTCTGGATTGGCAACTGCGTATCTGCAGTAAAATGAATCGGAAAGGAAAAGGCGAAGATTGAAAGTATATAGTAGCTTCGCAGCATTTCGTTCTTTCCTGACCTCACTCTGACAAACTGCTTCGTCTACCTTAGAAAAGACACGGTTAAAACAATCACGCAGCAATGAACAATGGCCAATGTCAGGGAGAAAAGAGCACAAAAAAGTTACACTGAGACAATTAAAAACAATTTAGGAACATGAATTTTTTCCAGAAATAATTAATCTTCATTCCAACAAAGAGTTTTGTGTGGCATACCATAGCCTAAATAGTACCAAAATAACCAAGATCAACAAAAAACTTTTATCGGCAAAAACACAATGACAAAATTAACAGCAAACAACAAGAATATACAATAACACTTTTTTTGAGGTACAAATTAGTAGGAAGTGTACGGCTGTGGCTTGAATACTTCAGCACATCTGCGGCCGCAGACAACCTAGTCTCTCAACTGCTCCTGGTGTGATTCTGTCCCCTTCTTCTTACAGTTCGGACTGTAGTGGGGTTTCTTGTCTTCTAATGGCTCCCCGACACCAACCCGCGCGGCCGACCCTCGGCAAAAAGCGTCGACTATCAGTCAGCTCGTCTCCTGATCGGTCCAAAAATGCCTCCGAACACACCAAACCGACGCCAATGGAGCGTACGTTGCGCGTGCGGAGGCGTAATACTCCCCAAAACAGCAGACCGGCGTAATCTGTGTTGTCCCCAAAAAAAAATCAAACCGGAAAGACGGATCACTCTAGACCTTAAACACAGAGCACCTGTCGTCATCATTGTTTTCATCAGAGAGTGTTGATAGTAGTCAAGAAGGATTGTTATTGTCATTATCGCTGAACGGAAATACGATGGCTAATAATAACAAGATACTGGCGTTGCGTAGTATGTTTACATCATCACTTCCGTTTTCTCGTGCACTCACTGATTCGTATCAAGGGCTAACACTCCACCAATCAGATTGGTCATGAGCCGGGCCAACTGGAAATAACGCGACACTGACTGACGACCACAGGACA